GCCCCCTGCACGGGGGTGACCTACCCCAGCGGTCCCGGCATGGGGGAGGCCCACCAGAGATGACCCCCTCGGGGGAACTGACCCACGCAGGAGCGGGCCCTGACCCGGCCATCCAACTGCCCCCATTTCACCCACGTTTTCCTCACATTGGGGTGGGTTTTTTTCGCTTTTCCGTAATACTCTGTTTTGGGAGTTTTCAGTGCTTAGCCAACACACAAACATTGGTGATTTTTGCTTCTGTGCATGAAAAAGGGGTGGGGTTTTTTTGCTTTCCAGTTTCACAAAACCAGGTGGATTTGGCTTTCCCTGGAGCCCCAAATTGGGATTAATTCCGTCCACCCACCCCACCCCCCAAAAAATATTGTTTCTTTGGTTTTTTTTCCCAAAGCAGCCCCAGAATCACGGGTTTGGGGTATTTTTGTGCCACGGCGGCAATTCCCACTCTGTATGCACAGCCCTGCAGGGGAAAGCAGCCCCAAACTGGGATGGGGAAAGGGGAGAAGGGGCAGCTTTTGAAAGCGATTTTACATCTTTAAAGAAGAAGGGGGGTGGGGGTGTGTCGAGTTTTTACATGCTTTCTATAAATAGGCGTTCCTTGCATTTCAAAAACCTTACAGAGTATAGACATTTCACTTACCTATCCATTTGCACATAGACGTATATATATTTGGGGTAAATACAAGCCTGAGAAATACCAGAACACCTCGGTGAGCCGAAGGGGAGAGACAGAGTAGTTAAAGAATACGGGTGGGGAGCCAGACAGAGAGAGAACGATAAAGCCAAAAAAGGGCCAGGGGACAAACCTTTTCATATTCGAAAATTCTTTATAGAACAGAGGGTGGCAGAGGGGGGCGCGACGCGGGGACGAGGCGGGCAGGAGGGGGGGCCGAAGCGAAGGGACGGGGACGCCACTGAGCATGTGCGGCTCCGAAGCTGCAGTACCAGCTTTTGTCATCAGGTGGCAGCAGCGAGCCCAGTATCGCAGTATTGCGCATGCGCGGTTCCACAGTTGTAATACCGACTTTCGGTCGCGTGGCGGCAGTAGCGAGCGCAGGGAGGCGGGGCTGAGCTGGCGGGAGCTGGGCCGAGGCGGGGCCGAAGGGAGCGGGAGGAGGGGATAAGAGAGGCATGAGGCGGGGCCGAGGAGGGCGGGAGGCGGGGCCAAGAGCAGGCAGGAAGCGGGGCCGAGGCCAGCGGGGAGGCGGGGGCACCGGAGGCGGGCTCCGAGGCAGGGGCCTGGGCAAGGAGGGAA